GGGGGGGGAGACAACAGAATCTTCAAATTAATAATTTTGGAAAACACAGATGCTTGCAAATCACCCACAATACCCGCTCGTTTGTCCCATACCATGTTGTCCCATTATGCCCCATGACCCATGTCATCCCGATCAATATTGAGGTTGGCATCTCGCCCCTTATGATGTTGGAAGCGGGTGCGCTTTGCCGACTCATGTTGTGTGGAGCCTGTATCTCTTTATCTCTTGTGACACTTGGCTTGACTTCCCTGTTTCATGCATAGCCCGAACATTCCACGACGCCATGCGATGAAGAAGGTTTCGGGTCAGTTGAGTCCTTTCGGCTTTGTCCTTTGGTCCTGTGGAAGCAGAAGCTTCTCTGTCTCCCAAGATCGAAAAACTAGACGTGTTAGCTTGTGTTTTATGGAGCTTTAAAAATAGTTTGTTAAAATTTTTTTATTTTTGGCACATTTATTATTTTACAGAATCGGGTAGTTACTTTAGCCCTCCGCCAATTTTTAAACAGCTGTTTTCGGAGACCAGACTTACTCACCTTTAGTTTCTTCCCCATAAACAGGCTATAACGACTGGTACATTTCAGTTAATTCAAACACACGTGACTTGTTCATTTCCCTTGGACATTGTTTACCAAAAAACAACAACAAACAGACAAACAACAACAAACAAACAACAACAACAACAACAACAACAACAAAACAACAAACAACAAAACAACAACTCCACATGAAGAGAAAAAAAGATAGGGATACAGAAAGTTATATAAGTAACTGACGGCCAAAATACAGTTCCCTAGATCTAGATCTAGATGAAAACAAATTAATTAATATGGATAGATCTAAGAACACAACAGTGTTGTGCGTTGACGAAGAGTGTACAATAGATTTTTAAAAACTTCGTAACTCAGCTTCGAATCAAATTTGTTTTTTCAAGGTCATTGTGTACACAAATAATATTATTTTGAGGCTTTGATCAGTATTTTTGTCTAAAATTTGGACTGAAGTTTTAATTTTGATGTCGCAAGGAAAAAATTCAAAGTTCAAAGAAACCACGAGTGCCCACATTGTCACGTCAGCCTGCGGGAAAAAACCTGCCCTGAGTAGATGATAACAAAGATAATACCAGATATAAGTACATAACCAAATCTAGGGAGTTTGCGAAACCCAGAAAGAACGATTCTTTCTAAAAATAGAATGCGGACATTCCCATTTGTTCTTTTCCAGCTTTCCAGCTTGGGATACTTTGTTCTTCTCTTTTGCTGAAATTCATACACGTTTCAAACATGAAGATCACGCCACCTCTCTGGTCCACAAAATACCAGAAGAACAAGGATCATTATTTTAATATAAAAGAGTTGATGACATTGATAAGTACCTACCTAGCCTTTCTTTCTGAGCAACTGTTGCCACTAATCTTCAACGAACACGTACCAAGAAATAATTTCTGGATGAGCTGACATAATCTGGGGTAAAAAACAATGAATCGTAATTTCTATTTTCGTTTCACCGAATAACACCAGACATTCTCAGAATGCATTCTGGCATACCCACACCTTGTTGGGTGAATCTTTTCAGTGTCTATATTCAGCTCTTACCGAATACAGTAGCCTCTGGAGATCTATGTACCAGCGGACCCAGTTAAATAGACTGTTCCCGAAAGGTAGAGGGGTAGATCTATAAATGTGAGTGTGACTGTTTTGTTACTTGGTCTTGTTTGTGTAGTGTTGGTGTTGGCCTGGTGTTGTTTCAAACCGATTAGATTTAGATCTAGATCTAGGTCTAGATTAGTGTAATCTAATAAAGTAGATTAGAATCTTGAACTAGAGAACGGTTAAATTATTAGACAAGACGAATTTATAACAATATATCAAAAGCTGACATAATCTGGGATTACAAACACTGTAAGTCATTATTCATTATTTCGTTTCAATGAACAACACCAGACAACCCTCATGATGTGTTGTGTGTGTATAAAAGTCAGGTACTGTTTAACTTTCTCGCGTTTAATTTCGGGGGGAGGACTTCCGTAAAGAGCGACCACTCGTAACTCAATGAATATTATACTCAACGGCCATCAAAATCAGTACGGAAGGCCTAAAGCCAGTTAAGTATGTTACTATAGACTTTGATCTACCTACAAGGAACAAATGATGAAATTGCTGTGGTTTACTTGTATTCTTAACTCCAGGCTTGAAAATCCCGTTGGGGATAAGTTTCGTCTAGATCCAGATACAAGCGCGGCCGGAATTAAATGCGAAAAAGTAAACAATTGCCAAAAGTAATTGTTGTCACTACTCTATTGAATTGACTCTATACTAGATCTAGATATAGATCTATACTAGTTTCTAGATATCTATATATGTTATTATTATTCACTTCAGCGTTTACTGTTCTGAAGACTTATATTTATCGAAGTGACTATTTCTCTGTACGTTTGGGAAAATAACCTTGAACTCTATTTCTCCGAACCGTTTCCATTTTCAAGATTTTTTGGTTATTTGCGAGATTTAGGCGTCATCTTTCATTCATCCTGCGATTCTGCAAGGACTGGGAAGAAGCATTTTTTGCATCGAATTCAATTTCTAGAGCTAGAGATTTTAATTTTTAAATGTCTGAATATTGAGATACTTCAGTTGTGATTGGGGCAACATTCCCGGACTAGATCTATACTTCATTTGAAAATACTTTCTAAAGGTACTGCTAGAAAACAAGACTGATCGACCTTGGCAGTATCTTATTTTGCATTTAGTCACCCAGCAAAAACTAAAATCATTCTTGTAAAAATAAAAAGGTGATACCAATAACTCAAAGTCAAATGCCCAAAAATTGAGGAGAGAGCCTGATTCCACCACGCTGCCTCACATATATGTATCCTATAATGTCAATGTAATGTTAGAGATCATAGACTTTATATAAATAACCTCTCGAAGTACTGTCGAAGCTCTTTATAGTGTAGGTCTACCAGCGGACTTGGGTAAAAGGACTGGCCCGGAAAGATAGAAGGTAGAAGTAGCTGTGAACCACTGTGTAGTTTCAAACTGACTAGAACTTACTAGAAGTTGAACTAGAATCTAGAAAACTAGAACTATTAGTAGTGTTATAATTAGATCTAGCTATAGGAAGGCTTGAGAATATTTATAAAGTCTGTAAATATCAACTTAATTACAGTCAGTTTATTATTTTGCCATTGGTGATACATGTACTCAAATATATATTATAATGTTTGTTGTGTTTATTTTGTAGGACTAGGCCTACAACTCCACCAGGGATAGGGGCGGCTCATTCTTTTTTTTCCAGCCAAAGCCAGGAAGTAAATACTCCACACATAGCTTACATTTGGTTTTTCATTTCTTCTAAAATCATCCCAAATTCCAGAGCAGCCTAGGTTCCCTTGACTTTTGCTTTGAGTAGCTGGACAATGTAGCCTACAACATTCGTTGGATTACACTGGACATTTTTATGGTCGAAAGTTTTTTTTCCTAAAGTTGTGACGGTTTTGTGGTCTCATACTTTTTTATAAAACACTTGAATATGTAATACCTTTTGATTTTTGACATTCTGAATGGCATTTTCTTCACAGAAGTCACTAGAGGGAACATGCTTGAACAAGAGAAAAAGTCGGAGAGCAAACTGTGTCATAAGTGCAACAAAGCCCTGGGTGGCCATCCACTTCTCTGCTCCTGCTCAGCTACGACTTTCAGGTGGGTTCAGAGATCAGGAAATTAGTGCTGAGCTTTTTGAAAAAATATGTTTGATGATCAAATTGAATAGAAAGATAAATGCTACAAATGAAGTTCAATTCACACTAATGTTTTCCAACTGCATGATATATTTTTGCGGTAATTTTTATGTCCTTGCAGAATTGAATGTAGATATCTAGCTGTGGAGTTTTTTTTACCTTTATAGCTGGAATATTGTCGGTGCTTTTTTTGTTCGGAACCATTTTTGTACTGAAAATTTCTCTCTGTTTTCTCTGTTTATCTATAGTCTATCATGCAAGTGGGGAAATATAGGTGTGATGCAGAAATCTTTTTGCTATGTATGAATTTTGTCAAGTACATGTTTTAAATACAAAAGATATAGGTGTTTGAAAATATTCGGGGCCTCAGAATTTGTTGACGGTGTGCACATTTTGTTATGTGCATGTTCGCTATATGTAATATATAATATAATATGCAATATGTGCATTCTATACAGTATTGTATTTGTGTCATGTCCCATTCTTCTTCAAGGTCAAGTCACGGGATCGTTTCAGGTTTTTCTCACTAAGTCCAAAGCAGCAAGCAAAGTTTACAGAAAGCCATAGCGTGCTGTCATTATCTCTGACATTCTCACTTTTTCAAATGTTTTTGTCCATCTTCTATCAGGATCATTAGTTACTTTGTTCTTTACTACTTTCCTCTACCTGCAAAGAAGCTGAAATGTATTTTCTGTGGATTCATTTTTTCCCTCTTCCTCCTCCTCCTCCTTTTTCTCTTTTTCTTTTCCGTCTTTTTTCATGATAAATATTTGTTTGCTACTGTCACAGATACTGCTGCTTGAAATGTCTCAGCGATGATGACAAATGTTGGGGTGCATGCCACAGGGGCAGTGTTGGTCCAGAAATGGAAAACACAAATGAAGAATCCTCGGAAAATAATCACCCTTCATGGACGGACATAAAGAAAAGAGCGAAACTTCTCACACCTCTCGGCAACTTCCGCCCCAGTTTGCTAGATCCTGCTGCCTACGTGCTGCGGGAGGGCATGGCAGCATTTCAGAATGCCTCAGAAAGTGAACTCAGTAGAGGTGAAACCATGCAGGATGCCGTGTGTTCGAACAATGTGGAAACTCCAATGGAGGTATCGAGGTCGGAGTGTGTGAACAGGGGTGATGTTTCCAGTTCTGACGATTTGAATGTTCGGAGCCTGCACCGTGCCAGTAATTCCTCAGTAGAGGTTCAGTCCTCACTCCCTCCTCACAGTAGGTCTACAGCTTCAACGACTGTGTCTGCCTCAGACTGTGGGCCATCTACTAATTCATGTGAAAGTCTGTTGAACCAAAATGTGAACTCAAATGAAAGTCTGTCGAACCAAAATGTAAATTCGTGTGAAAGTTTGCCGGAGCAAAATATGAGAACCGGTAGTCGAAACTTGAGATTAGGCGAAGGTAGTAGATTGCCTGCTGCAACAAACATTTGCACACCTAGAGGTCCTGACGGTACAAGTTCGAATGCCAACAGTATTGATCATCACGGCACTTCTTTTGGCCGAGGTTGGTGGGTAGGTGGGACATCATCGGAAAGACGTGGCTCTTTGCCGCAGACTCGCCATGACGATGGGAACGATTTCGGTGCAGGTTGGTGGAAGGGAGCAGACAGAAAGTCGGAAGCTTCGAAAGGGGCTAGAAGTAAAAAGAGAAACACAAGTGCTCCCCCTAGTGAGCTGAGGAAAAGGGTGCGGAACAATCGCGAGAGTTTTGGCTCTGGCTGGTGGGTAGGACGATTGGACAAACCAAAGGAGGAATCTAAACATTCAAATAACAGAACCAATGTCCGTGAAGGGGCGGCAGCCAGAGGGGAAGATCGTTCATCAAGGGACCATTCTGGGCGGCCGACTTCAGGCTGTGATAAAAGTAAAGAGAGGACAACCTCGTCAGCGCTTGTTCGTGGAGAAAGTGAAAGAGATGAGCCTGTTTTAGATCTTGTCCCTTATCAGGTGCAGACAAATCCAAGTGAGTACTGAAGTCATCATAATGAATATCTGCATGTTAATAATGGTGAAAAGAATATCTGTGGGTTATTTGTATGTTAATAATGGTGAAAAGAATATCTGTGGGTTATTTGTAATGTTAACAATAATTGATAGAGTATCTGTGCATTATTTACATTAACAAATTATGAATAGAAATTTCTTTTGATTATTTGTGTTTACTATGATGAATAAAATATATCTGTGGATTATATATATGTATGTGATGGCTGGAATATCTGTGGATTATATATGTATGTGATGGCTGGAATATCTGTGGATTATATATGTATGTGATGGCTGGAATATCTGTGGATTATATATGTATGTGATGGCTGGAATATCTGTGGATTATATATGTATGTGATGGCTGGAATATCTGTGGATTATATATGTATGTGATGGCTGGAATATCTGTGGATTATATATATGTATGTGATGGCTGGAATATCTGTGGATTATATATGTATTGGATGATTGGAATATTTGTGGATTATATATGTATGGGATGATTGGAATATCTGTGGATTATATATGTATGGGATGATTGGAATATCTGTGGATTATATATGTATGGGATGATTGGAATATCTGTGGATTATATATGTATGGGATGATTGGAATATCTGTGGATTATACGTGATGACTACTGCTGTAGTAGCCAGTACATGGTGGCCACTGTTGTGTAGCCATTATATGATGGCTACTGTTCAGGTAGCCAGTTTGTGAAGGTTACTGTTTTGATAACTAATATGTTTAGACTACTGTTGTGGTAGCCAGTAAATGGTGGCTACCGTTGTTGTGTTAATGATAATAGATTCAATAGATAGCCTTTGTATAGCACAAATCCCCACTCAACAACAAGCTCTATGTGCTTCACAATCTATACTATTACCCAGCAGACCTGAGGGCATTCTGAAACAATCTCAACTTCCTGGGAAGCATACAGTGCAAGCGGCCATTTATAGGTGCTAAAACACTAACTTACTGACAAGATCTTTCGCTGTCTATAGCCTGTCGTTGTAGCCAGTTTATGATGGCTACTGTTCAAGTTGTAGTAGCCAGTATGTGATGGCTACTATTGTGGTAGCTTGTATATATGATGGCTACTATTGTGGTAGCTTGTATATATGATGGCTACTATATTGTGGTAGCCAGTTTATTATAGTTACTTCTGTAGTAGCCAGTATGCAATGACTACTGTTTTCTCCGCCCTTCCCTCCTGTTCCCACAGGCACAGGCAGGTGGCTGGAGAATTGATTCTGTCTATCGGTCTTTCTCCTTCCCTTCACTGTACAACCATTTATTGTATCTATGTGCTTCTATTTACTCTAGTGGGCGGTTGGTGGGTGCTCTGTTGTGGTGTACTCCTTCTTGACTACCAAACATCTATTGTCCTGATCTCTCCTCTAATTTTCTGGCGCTCATATGACCTTATGCAGTTGTGAGCGCCGTAAAACCTTTACTAAAACTAAACTAAAACCTCCTCTTCCCTCCCCCCTTCCAGGTGTTGTGGTTCTGTTCCTGCTGCAGGTGACTTTGTTCAAGAAGCATCTGCTGGATATAGAGGAGGCCCACGGACGGTCGGTGTACACAGTGCTGTCTGCTGTACCGGGCCTGTGGCGAGGTAAGTGTGTGTGTGTGT